GCAGTGCTCTGTTGTGCTGGGCAGCTGCCATGTGGAAATCAGCCTTTGAGTTGTTTATAAAACTGTCAGCGAAGTAGGCATGGTATGTGGTGTGGCAATTCTTTCAGTAGTTTGTTGTATTTCCATCTGTCTGTGTAGTCTGTTATGAAGTCTCTTAAAAATTATGTTTCTATTCCTGCTGTGCCCACCTGAATCCACAGTTCTGCACCAAAAAAAAAAAAATAGGAAATTTGAAAGAACGTGGTTAGAAGTCAGTTTTCACATTTGAAGATGTATTTCCGTACAGTTGGATCACATAGAGGAAAATAATGCTAATATTCCTGAGACTTTAATGGTTTCCATTGTATAGGAAACACAGACATCTTAATGCCTGTTAAATGCTAGTGAGCTATTTGAAAATAAGTATCTCCAGTTTTTAAGCAGCAGTGTACCAACAGCAAGGGAAGATGATAAAGTCTAGTCAGGTTGTACTCAAGGGGTGACGTACATAATCTGTCAAATCTGAGTCTCTGTGTTTCTATATAAATGTGATAGGTCTACTTATTCTAGCGTTTGGTGATCCTTTGAACAGGCAATTCAGTGCCCGAGTTGTCTTTTTGATCAATAATTTTTTTGCTGTTCAGGGTAAAATGCAAGCTGAAATTGGAGGAGACTGTGATTTGAGTGCAATGTCAGCATCTTATCAGGATATGCTCTTGGGTAGGGCAAAAATTGAGTGCACATAAGTTAAGGCCTAAACTACTGAAAAATTGCAGCCTGCACATTATTTGTAAAGAATACAAAAAAACTTCTTTAAATTCCTCAGTTTATGTCAGTGTCAAGCATGCTCATTTTGGGCTGGACTTACATTGCAACACAGGGTCTTGATGTGGAGTTCAGGACCAGCAATTTGGTTATGACAAAATACCACCACATAAAAGTTTCTATAGGAAGGTTTAGATAGGTTTTACAATGAAAAATTATTAATATACTGCTGAAAATAGCAACTGTGCTAATCATTTAGCTGTCACATGGATTATTAAATTTTGTCATTTAATAATAATGAACAAGCGTGAAAGTAAAACCCTTAAATTAAAAGTAAAACCCTCAATCTAAATATATACCATTGTCTTGACAACTTTGAAACAGAAATTGAAAGGCTTTCTTAAGAAAGCTTTTACTTAGAAATCGAAGCAAGAAACGATTTTCACTTTTTGCAGGATGCTAACTGAAGGAGTAATGCCACATCATACCTCACCTCTGGCACTGCCTCATGCTTGAGCTCCAGTGGGTAAGGCTTGGGTAATACGGTGGTTTCCAAGGAGCAGAGTATTAAAAGTTTCCCTTGCCCAGTAATGATGTGGGGGAGATTAAGGCAGGTGGAGGTCACTGCAGAGAGAAATAAAGCTAGTTTTTTTTTAATTTACAGGTGGTTTATAGCTACTGTTTCTGTGACTGAACTTCCAAGTGATATTGGTTGCCTGAGGCCAGGTTGTAAAGGACTCTGTTGAAAGTAAAGTGAAGGTTGCTAATGGCTTAAGGGTGAAAATTCAAAGTGAATTGCATAGAAAACCAGCCTATTATCAAGTGGCTTGTATGAGTGATAATTCATCCAGTGCATGAAAAAGACAGAAGTTTTACCAGCAATTGATACTGGGGGCAATAAGTCGGCAAATTTGGAGGTCTAATGACAAGAAAAGCTGAACCATTAGGGAATAATGTAATCATGGAATCTGAGAACAGCAAAGGATGGAGAAATGTGAAGTATTGGAAGTAAGTTGAAATAAAATGGTGTTGAATTCTTACCTTCTATCTGTCTGTGACACAGGCCTAGACATGTTGGACTAGATCTTCCACAGAATTTTCTCTGTGACATGCTGGACTTGAAGGACCACCACAGTACTCCAATGGATGAAAGAATATGGAGAATCTATGGAAAAAACTTACTGATAAAATATGACAGAACTGTTAACTGTTTGGAAAGATATATTGGAAATGGTCTGTGTTATCTGTAAACTGTGAGTGCTGGTGAAGCAGAGCTTGAGATCAGAGGCATCCTGATCATTAATTAATGTGTTTGTCAGGAAGTGATGAACTTGATCATTCAAATGACTGTGGCCCTCAGCACTCCTCACATCAATGGCTGCTAGTGTAGGTGGTTGGATTTCCAGCAAAAGACGCCATACACTTCCAGACAGGTGTCTCAAGTGGAAATGGCTTCCATAGGCGTGGATGAAATTAAAATAGAAAAACTGTATGTGGAGTAGGAGAAAGCTACTGGAGAAAACCCACCAAGGAAAACTCTTGGCTTTCTCTCATGATCACCCACTTCTAAAGCAGAAAAAATTCTTTACATGCAATCACTCTCAAGGGAAAGTTTAGAAAGAAGCCAGTATTTCCTAGCATTTGTTGAAAACTGGAGAAGAGAGTTGGCCTAAGCATTGGATTTGGTCTTCTGCTTTTCCTGGCCATTGGCTGAGGAGCCTAAGCTGTTTCTGCAACCTGAGCATTTGCTCTGTGACTTTTGTCTTTCCTCATCTCCATATGTGTGCATGAGGCTGACTTAATTGTGACATATTGACATATGAAATGTGTTTGAACTGGATGTAGATAAATTTGATATGTAAAAATACATTATCTGGTATCACAGTACAAGTATTCTGCTATTTGTGGTTTTGGCTTTCTTTTACAGCTGCAGTCTGAGCCTGCAACCTTCTGTCATCACTACTTAGGTCTGGAAAGGAAACACAGCAATGTATGGCACAATATATTTGCTGAAACTGAGTAAAATCATACAGTTTCTTAAAGAGAAGACAAAAATTACTTCTTCTCTTTGAAACAGTCGTGCACTTAGTCCATTAAAAGAATAGTTAAAACCATCCTGATGAAAACTGAGTTCAATCTGGCACTGGAGAGTAGGAAATGAGAGAAGCTGTCCCCCTCCCATGCTCTCAGCGCTTTTTACACTAAGGGTTGTAGAGGGTAAGGAGGCAACTGCTGGTGCTGCCTGGTACTTGTGCACATCTGCACCCCTGCCATGCACATGGAGCTGCCCCTGCCCCCCACACAACCATCCTCCAAACCGGATGAGGTGGAAATCCTGGGAGGGAGGGAGGAAGGGAGGTGTGGTCATGAAAGGAAAGACCATGTGGCAGTGGAAGGGATGGAATTCAAGTCTTATATAAACCTTTGTTTGGCATTACATAATTTCTAGGGGCTGGATATTGGAACTTGGCTATTTTCAGCCTTTTTTGTTACTTCAGTGCATTACTTAAAAGTCAGTTTTAATGAAAATTGAAGGCAACTCAGCATTTCAGTTCTCAGAGATTCTCAGGCACTCAAAAAAAGGCTTATTATAAATCTAAGAAGTTTTTTTTAAAAATCATTATATCAGAATTCAATTTGTGTTGTTTATATGTCTTCTCCTAATTCTGTGTGATCACATGCTGACTATTTTGTCTTGCAGGCAGATTTTCTTGGTAATGTGTCATCTGTTTGTGTGTGAAGAAGTGTAAAGTGTCTAATTCTTTCTACTGTTTACATTCATAGAGTAATAACTCTTGTTTTGTTCTTGAAGCAACTGCTAAAAGCCCCTCGGTGGAAGCACTAGAAACAATTAAATCATCAGTCCTAAATAGTTACACATTAATGATGTGATACACTTTACAGAATACAGCAAAATTACTTTGGCAAGTGTGTCTTTCCTGTGAACTTGAAATTGCTTGCATCATTTTTATAACTGCCAAGGTTTGAAATATGCAGAGATCTTATGGAGAGAAGAATATATTTTGATGCATAAATATATACACAAATACATTGATTAATTTTTTTGGATGATGAAAAGGAGGAATAAGTTGGAAGAGTTGACAAGATACAGTTGACAAGAATTTCAGTTTTTTGGCACTGTTACTGTCTGAGGACAATACAGTTTGGATATCTCCACTGCAAAGATCAGCAATAATTTACAAATATATTAAAATCCACTTTGCCAGCTCTAGAAGGCACCTGGATTTCTCCAAGCAAATGCATGTGGTGTGGAAGTACCTCTGCCCAAGGCAGGAGAAGCTGCCACTTTGTTGGGCCATCTTTTGCTTGGCTGTTGGAGTTGGTTGGAGGGGTTGGTTGGCGGGGTCTGCCCCTGTGAAGCTGGGGAAGTGTAGCTGGCCAGAGCATGGATTTCACAGGAAAGTCTAGGTCCTGTGCTTTGTTTTTCTTGCTGGGAAGATGGAATGGCTTGATACTGAGGAGTTTTGGGGTCTTCCCTGCAACCTCTGCAATAGTTTGCTTTATAAATACCAGGACATTGTATTCCAGAGTGTTAGTGTATTTGTTAAAACACCTATTTGCTTGGGAAGTCTTTGCTTATGGGGAAGCAGCAGACCTGAAAATCTGGGAAGTGCTGGCAGGCAAAGAGACAGCCTGGCATTGCTCCTGGGTGTGTTTTCTTGCTCACTATTGCTGGATGGCTTCCTCACAGAGATCCTGCTGCCATCGCTTGCTCCCCTTTGTCTTCTGCCAGATGAGTTGGAGCAGAGCAAATTATTTTTCTGCTCCTGGAAAAACTCTCATTTACAAATACAGCTTTCAAAGAATCCGGTATGTGGCTGTCAGAAATGCTTTAATTTTTTGGTTATGTTTAGTCAGGAAAAATTCTGACTTTTTTTTCTGGAATTTTAGGAGGAAGGCAGCTAGGATTTCTTTTGCATAGCTATGCAGCACAGATGTGTGTTCATTAAAGATACACTGTTTATAATCTGGTTTCTGATATTCTGATCCACATCTCTTTTTGATTTAACATAAAGAGGTTGATAGCTTTATCAAATGGACAAAAATTTCTTATTTTCTTGAATAGTCTTCAGCAACTTTGAGAAATTAATGGCAGTTTCAGAATTTATGAAGGCCAAAGAAATGGTATTCACTAATTCAAATAATTAATAGAAGTAAATGTCTGTGGTTAGTAGGTTGTTTCCCATTTTAGGAGAATTAGAAGAAAATTTAATAATTGCTTTCAATTTTTTCAGGCAGCCAACATCAAGCGTGAAATGACCTTCCATGCATTTCAACAGGAGGATGTAAAAAGTGACATCAGTCGAAAACTGCCAGACCAACAGTTTCTCCTGTTCACCACAAAGGAGGAAGATTTAAAAACAGCAGAGACCAAAAAACTAAATAGAGCTCATGAGTATGAAAAGGAAAACACTCGTTCTGTTTGTCTTCTGGAACAGAAGCGCAAGGTTGTTTCTTCGAATATTGATGTGCCTCCTGCAAGGTAAGGAGAGTTGGACTTTTTTGTTGTGATTTGTTTTAAGCTTTATTCCTTTTTCTTTCCTGCCATTTTTTCAAATGGGATATTAGATACAAGTTTGGTAAACAGCACTATGAACTGCTGAGACTAGTGTTTGTGCCCAGGCAGTCCAAAGTCAGTCACAACCCTCCTATTTGAGAAATCTGCTAGGAAATCTGCAGAAAATGAGAGCATCTGCAGAATAGGACTTTGTATTGCTTTTGCATTGTTTTTACTTTAGAATGTGCTGCAGCTGAGGTACTTGGAGAAGAGGATGCGTCTTAAGAGGAAGAGATTGTTGACTCAGCCTCACCCTGAGAAGTAATCTTCTAAATTAGACACAGAATCATCTTACTTGCTAGCAATTTATTTTTCAAATTTTTTTTACTGTCATACTTGCAGACACTTTATACTCATTGGGTATTCTGTGTTGCAAGATGACAAGTGCTTTTTCTTGTTCATGTTAGCATCAGTCTGTCTGTAAAGATTTCTGCTTAATCTGCCTAGTGAATTTACTTGCACATAATTCAGTAAAAGGCCTTTCAAGTTTATGATTCCACTTAAAAAATTGTAGTCAAAACAGATGTTTAGTTTTTCAGTTTATTTGCTTTCTGAAGACCAACATTACCAGCAGGTTCTACCACATCATCCAGAACAGGATAGCTAGATGTTTTTCTCTGGCTTAGATATCATTTGCACTGAGTCCAGGAGCATTTTTACAGGATTTTCTCCCATATATATGTAGTAAAAAGCTATGTATTAAAACTTTGAAAATGTTAGGATACTTACTAGAGATTTTCACTAGTAATCAACTTCGTAATGTCTGAGTGCCCTTCTTATTCATCTTGTGTGTCTCAAAGCAAATAGGATCACAAGAAAATGTAGGTCAGGAAGGACCTCAGGAAGTCACCTAGGCTAACCTTCTGCTCAAACCATATGTTAGCATTTCCATTTAACAACTCAGGCCACTAAGGTACAGGGTTTAAGTACATTTTTGTGTGACTTCATGCAGATAATCCACTTGAAGTAGTAGTCAAACTCTCATTTTCTATAGCTATGAGATCATCTTTCCTTGGAGGGATGGATATTTTTTCCCCAATGAGCTGAAAAGGAGGATGAATTAACATCTTTAATATCTTCTTAAGGCTAATTGTGACACCAGTTGTGAGCACAGGAAACTTAAGATGATAGGAGATAAGTTCACTTACAAAGGTGTCTTCTCAAGTTGTTCTTTCCATCTGCAGGTATTTTGTTGAGAGCATAAAAATTACTGTATTATGTTGTGTGTTTTCAGACATGCAGTTGAGCTCCTGCATTAGCAGAATTAAAGAATGAAGTAGCAAAGAAACCTGGAGTTTATGTTCAGTAGCATAATAAACATTGTGGTCATTCTTGCTACATATTCCCAGTCCAGCTCAAGTTTTGCTTTGAAGCTGAGGTGAAATATGGAGCCATTTGTCCACCACTGATGGGAAGAACACTTAAACCTTTGCTTAGAGATCTTCCTAAATATTTGTTGTTGTAATGAAGGAGAGCACCCAGTCTATTCCTCAGCAGCAGCAGCAGCAGTTTGATCTCTAAGTTCCAAACTTCTCCAAGAAGACTCCATACATTTAAACTTTCTTGCCTCTTTCTAAGTCCCTCCCAGTCATCTGTCTAGGACTGTGCTGAGAGAATTGCATGTTCCCCAGAGGTGAATTCCTTGTTCCTTTGCCGGCAGGATTCGCTGGTTCAGCTGTTCTCTCTTCTGATGAGAAAATCCACCCACCTTTGCAGATTTGTTATACTCAGTTGTGGAAGGTCATCTTGAATTAATCAGATAATGTTTACAATTACGTGGGACAAATAAGGGTTTAATATAGTCTTAATTTCTTATTGCTGTATACATCCTCTTTACAAAAAAATCCCAACTTTTTATTCTGCAATAAGGATATATATATAGTAATAAGTGAAAATGAAGCTTGCTGTTTATTTTGTTTTAAAACATTAGTGGAACCCATTTAACTTCAGATGTTGAAATAAAGAAAACATTAAATTTTGCCATATCCAACTAAACCCATTACAATATTTAAGTGATTTTGAGACAGAAGTTTATCATAGCTTCAGATTAATTATCAGCAGGGGCATACAAGTATGTCCAAAAGAGCTCTGAAAATGTGTTTGCAAAAGATCTGTTAAGAGGTAGATAATAATTTTGGCCACAAAATGAAACAAAGACCATCCCTTCTTAGCTGTTTCTAAGGATCTCAGTGAATAAGAATGGAAATGTTTGTGAGGCACTGTATCTAAAATAACTAACAGTTCAGAAAAACACCAGCATAATGTTTCTTGGAGGCATTCAGCTTCAGGGCTTTCATTATTGCTTATAGAATCTGAAATTTTAGAAATGCAAAAATATCTTAACTGAGTCCTAGTGTTCTGTGTGACTGGTAGTCAGGTGCATGGAAATTATAGTAAAATAAATATTTTATTGGATGCAGAATTTTTAAGTTCACTGTTTACTTTTTTATTTCATCTTGTGAAAATGCTACAGATGTTTCTCTCTATGTTATGTCCTGTACTGGAAGTGTCTTTTGGATTAAGACAGAAGGAGATCACAACCTTTTCATCCTGATTTTTATTTTTGGAGTGCAAGAAATAAAATGACAGTTAACAGCATTATTTTTTTCCCTTTTCAGATTTCTTCATTTGTTCATTTTGAACAAAGTTTATCTGAGTAAATTGTGTTCCTTCTTCTGAAATGCAGATAAGCATAAATGAAACGGTTCAGCTTAAGCAAATGAATTATTTGATATAATGAGGAAACTTGAATTCTTTATTTTTCCTTTAAATATTGAATGTATTGTTAGTTTCGAAAGGACTGCAGTCTTGGAAAAAGGGGTTTGGTTTTGAAGTGCAGTCATCTCTGAGAATTGAGATGTTATCTGTAGATAAGAGAAAAATACACTTCTGGTTGATCTCCAGTTCAAACAGCAGCAATCAAACACAGCCAGATCCATGGATCTGAGCAGTGAAAGGCCATTTTGTAAAAAGAGAGTGCTATCACTGTGGGACTAATCACCTTGTCTGGTGGGCAGAAGCAAGCCTAGGTTTGCCTGTATTTCAGATAGCTACATCTGTAGAGGTCAAATGTAATCAGAGATGATGTCTCCAGTAGGCAGAGGTATGGGAGTTAACAGGACCTTCTTGCTCATTTGTATTTTCTTCACTTACTTATTATCATGGACACATAGTTCCAAAGCATGTCAAGAAAGACATGAAAGAGCCTGGACTGCTGATATAGTGGGTGTGAGAATGTGAGGAGGGACCCAATTCAGGCCAGGTACACAGTGAATGGCTTCTACCTTTCGGAAGAATGAGGATAGAAGTGTGGGTGCTGGAGAGCAGGGGATGAAGTTTCCTTTTTTTGAGTAAAATGTGAGAATAAATGTCTGAAAATGGTGGTGGTGTTAAAGGCCTTTTAAGACTGAAGTGTTTTGACCAATGGTAGCTGGAAACCCTTCAGAACTTAAAAGCCTTAGTGTCAGAGGAGGTCCCTTCAGGTGTTCCAGAAGGCACTAGACAGGCATCACTTCTACCCCTTTCATGGGTAGGTGCATTAGAATAAATAAAATATTTTCTTTTGTTAGTCTTCCGCTAGATGACCTCAAAATACCATGAAATTTTTATTATCCTCTTGATACATTATCCTCCTCTTCCCCAGCCCTCCTGTACTCTGTTGTCTCTGAAGAAAAGAATAAAAGAAATTTTCTAACTGCCTAGCTTTCCCTACATAGCTTGTGCTGCTATAGGACATGCCACAGCTAAACATCAGCTGCTTAAACACTTGCTTATAGTATTAAAATAGTTATTGTGCAATAAACCCTAGTTGCTGTGCTCTTCTGCTTCACTGCTGTTAAGTGGTGACATTTGCCATGACCATAATATATTGGATTTTGCTAGCTTCTGATGCTTTTATATTAAAAAAGCTGCTCTATTACTGTGAAATTATTTTTTATTCCTGTACCTATATTTTATCTACTAATTAGTTTATAATTTAATGGAAAAATATATGAAATAATTTAAATAAAGTAAATTAAATATCTCTAGGAATTCTCTCTGATATTTCTTTAGGTCTGTGTATCTATATCCTATATATCTTTAGGTCTTTGTAGAATAGCTACAGAAAGCTGGGGCAAAATGAATTTCAGCCATGTTTCTTGACCATCAATATAAAGAAATAGTACAGATGGTGATGTATTTTCATCCCTAAACGATTTTCTTGCCTGGTCTCTCCAGGAACTTAGCTCTGGGCAGCCTTCTGATTAGAATGTGTTGTTGATCTGTAAGGCCTGCTGGGCATGATTGATTATGCACCATGCATTCCAATGGAAACATTTGCATATTTTCATAGCCAAAACTCTGCAGGAGCCTGACTCCAAGATCAAAAGCAGTATCTGCTTAACTACAATAACCTCACTGGAAGGATTTCCCAATCTGCTTGTAGAGGGAAGAACCTGATGATCAAGTTGTGCTTTTCTGTTTATCCAGAGGTGGTGTTTATCAGAGATTGTCTTCTATTATTTTTCTGGTTTAGATTTGTCCTCAGTTTTCTTTGGGGAGCTTCTTTCCTGTGTCTTTCACAATTTTTACTGAGGGGATTGATGGGGCAACTTCAGGGGCATCAGCTATTTGTTGGCTGCTGAGGATTTTCAGCCTAATTGGGTGAAAACAAAAGGCCTAGAAACCAGGCTGTGCTTCAGAATTACTGACTGTAGCTCTGTGAGCTTCTGAGCCCTTCAAGTTTCCCTGCTAGCCCAATAGCTTTTTATTGAGTGTGATATTTTTTCAAATATTTTCACAATCCTGTAAGTTGAGTGCTCCTGTTTCTTAAGTTTTATTTTCTAAACATTCACACTACTTAGAAAGTTTGATAGTAATTGTTTTTATATAACAAAAACTACTCCCAGATTCATTCCCCTATTTCAGACCTTCTGTAAAAATTC